ATTATCATAAACTGTCGATATTTAACAAATTCTATTATGATGTTGTGCACCAATGACCTTACAAAGTTACAATATAGTTGTAAAGATATTGAATATGAATAAATGCTTGGGGAATTACATAAAATACAATCAATATTATAAATATTTTTGGAGAACTTGCACGAAACAACCTCATATGAATATATAAAGACTTCAAATTCAATTTTGAATTGGATTGGAGAAGTCCAATAGGACTTATGCACAACACAAATTTCTCATTAAGAATATGAGACAGTACGTTTTTATTTTTAATGAATTTTCCATTAAGAAAATTGTATGTAGTCTAATTATGGGATTAGATTACATACAATTTTATGTTAGATAGGGGTGGGCGTTCGATTCTTCGGTTCAGTTTAATCAAATTTCGGTTCGGTTCTTCGGTATTCGGTTTTAGAAAAGTGTGCACCATATATCAAACCAAACTAGATTGGTTCGGTTCGGTTTTTTCTACTTTGGTTCGGTTTAGTTCGGTGTTTTTAAATCGGTTTTTCGGTGTCAATAAAAATAAAGAGAGAATATGATAAAGTAACAATTATTATTCACTTCACACTTCAAACTTCAAAGTAACAACTAACCATCTAACAATAAAAGGTAAGAACATCAATTTGTTGTTCTCACTTCAAAGTAACAACATATATAAAATCATAAAATCATAAATTAGAAAGTAGAAACACCAAGTTGCTACTCAAACTTGAATTAAATTGAGTTTTGTTTAGTTTAGACTTTAGATCTTTAGGGTTTACTATTTTGTTATTAAGATTTTTTGCTATTTAAGTTTAGGATCTAAATATAAAAATTGAAATGGGCCAAGTAAAGTTAAAAATTAAGTAATATAATTAATACTTTTAAATTTATTTAATAAAACTTCGGTTCTTTGGTGCACCGTAGTTTCGGGACCCTTACACCGAACTCCGAACCGAAGTTCCGAAAAAAAACCCGACACCGAATCGAAACACCGAAGAACCGATACCGAAGAATCGAATTTTTTCGGTTCAGTTCAGTTTTTCGGTATTTATGCCCACCCCTAAATTGTTAGATATGAAATATTGTTTAGTTTTAATATATTTTTTATCCGTTTCTAAATATTTTTTTTTTTTTGTCTTTTTCTTTGATGTTTTTTAGTTTCAATTTTGCACATGATATGTATAAAACTACAAAATTTAAGAACATATTTTTAGTTTAAAATCATAAAATTCAAAATTATTGCGAAGTAAGAATTGCATATGTATAGTCTTTTTGTTTCTTTTAAAAAGAATAGTTTATATATTTATTCTCCGAATTTTATTTTTACTTGTTCGTATTTGATTTAATATATCTCTTAAAAAATATATAATTAATAAAATTACAAGTTTATTATATTATTTTATTTTAAAAATATAATAAATTTAAAATTTCTAATAATACGTTGAGTACTTAATATTAAGTGTAAAATTAATATTAAAATATATCTATTTTTTTAAAATTACATAAATAAAATAAATACTTATTTTTAGTAATACTTATGTAGAGACGAAGTCAACGTGGCATGGTTACCTTACCCGCCAAATTTAACCCGCCAAAAGACCTGGGACCCACATAATGGACAAACACCGCCCACTTTGCCTACCGGCCAATGCTATTACCAAAATACCCTCTTAAGAAAATAGTTTCTTTTATTTAATTAAAATAAAATAAATAGGAGAAAGTAAACATGCCAATTTATGTACACTTTAATATCATTAAAGGATATATTAATAATCTGATCAGAATTCAAGATATGCTATGAAGTGAGTATATCTTTTATATTAATTTTAATGGAGAAATGCATAGCTTTTAAGATTTTTTTCTTTTTATTGTTTGAAAAATAAATAAATATATCTTTTTAAATGATTATATATTATATATAGAAACATCACAATTAAAATATAAGTTTGGGATGATAAATTGTTTGTGATTTGTAGGCACACCATATTTAAATTTTTCTTAGCCATATACTTTTAGTTTGTGTGAATATTCTTCATTTAAGTATGAAAAACTTCTTTTTATCTCGTCATAAGCCTAAATGGTAATTACTACTTTTAGTTTGTGTGAATATTCTTCATTTAAGTATGAAAAACTTCTTTTTATCTCGTCATAAGCCTAAATGGTAATTACTTGAGCTAAACTATCAGCTTTACCTCATAAGATCCAAAGATCAAAATATTTGAATCACTTTTTTTTGGGTAATTATACTTTTGATCCGTCAAATATATTTGAATATACTCAACATATTTAACATTCAATTCATTTAAATATATGATATATAAAAAAATATGTTCATTCTAAACTATTTTAAAAGTACACCTCAAATATAGAATAATATTACTTCCTCCGTTTAAAAAAAATGACCTTTTTCATTTTTTGGTAACATTTTAATTTCAACTTTCCACGTGGCATGTTTAAAACCACAAGATTGAAGGACAATTTTGTACATTTGACATAACTTTAATTTAGGACCACAAGATTCAAAAGTCTTCTTTATTTTCTAAAACTTCATGCCAAGTCAAATCAGGTCACTCTTTGTGAAACGAAGGGAGTATAAGTTTAACGTAACAAATGAACAATTAAATGATAAAACCATTAATATTTCATGAAATTTGTAATCATTCCCTAGTAAAGGAATTAAAATTGCAAATTCAAGCAATTGAAAGTTAAAATGTAGTTAGTAAGACATCATAACCAAATAAAACAAGAATTTACTAATACTTAATTAGTAAGTGATAAAAAAAAATGCTAGTATTAACCCTTTTTCTTTAGGGGCATTAATGTAAAAAAGCAAAACACCCCATCTTCACTAGTGATTTTTTATTTTTTTAAAAAGAGAATCTAGAAAGGATCATGTTGGTGGGAAAACCAAAGAATATATTATATACATATAAAGAAAAAAAATCAAAATTTTTGAGAAGAAAAGTCCTGCAAAATCCAGAAAGGAGAGCGTGATTCCAGCCATTTTTGCTTTTACAATCCTTCAATATCTCGTTTTGTGGGTCCCACTCAACCCC